CTCATCTTCACATCTTCTCACCTTCACATCTTCTCACCTTCTCACCTTCACATCTTCTCATCTTCTCATCTTCACATCTTCTCACATCTTCTCACATCTTCTCACATCTTCTCACATCTTCTCACATCTTCTCACATCTTCTCTCACATCTTCTCACATCTTCTCACATCTTCTCACACCTCTTGCCCTCTTGCCCTCTTGCCTTCTTGCCCTCTTGTCCTCTTGCCCTCTTGCCCTCTTGCCTTCTTGCCCTCTCCTTCTTTTCTATTTCTCTTTTGAAGGCGGGAGCAGGGGCAGTGGCAACGAGACGCCACGAAACGCAACCCTTTCGCACGAAATGAGGTTCGATCGTCAAAAACTGAGGTAAAATTGCGAGTTGCAAGTGGCCCCGGGCAACCCTTTGGCACGAAATGAGGTTCGATCGTCAAAAACTGAGGTAAAATTGCGAGTTGCAAGTGGCCCCGGGCAACCCTTTCGCACGAAAGGAGGTTCGATCGTCAAAAACTGAGGTAAAATTGCGATTTCCAACTTGTCCGCGCAACCCTTTCGCACGAAATGAGGTTCGATCGTCAAAAACTGAGGAAAAATTGCGATTTCCAAGTCGTCCCGCGCAACCCTTTCGCACGAAATGAGGTTCGATCGTCAAAAACTGAGGAAAAATTGCGATTTCCAAGGTCCGAATGCAACCCTTTCGCACGAAATGAGGTTCGATCGTCAAAAACTGAGGAAAAATTGCAATTTCAAAGTATCCTAAAAGTGTTTGTGTGTAAAAGTGTTTGTGTGTCAAAGCATCCGTGTGTAAAAGCGTCTGTGTGTAAAAGCGTCTGTGTGTAAAAGCGCCTGTGTGTAGAAGAGTCTGTGTGTAAAAGTGTCCGTGTGTAAAAGTGTCTGTGTGTAAAAGTCTCTGTGTGTAAGAGTCTCTGTGTGTGAAAATGTTTGTGTGTAAAAGTGTTTGTGTGTAAAAGCGCCTGTGTGTAAAAGCGTCTGTGTGTAAAAGCTTCTGTGTGTCAAAGCGTCTGTGTGTAAAAGCGTCTGCGTGTAAAAGCGTCTGTGCGTAAAAGCGTCTCTGTGTAAAAGCGTCTGTGTTTGAAAGTGTCTGTGTGTAAAAGCATCGCTCCTATAATACTCTGAGGGGATAAGATGGTTCCCCCACCCTGGCGGGGGGCCAGGTCGGTTCTTTGCCTGACTCAACACCTTTGTGAGCAGCTTAGCTATTTGATTTCCAACTTTGCTACTTGCATAGAACCAGAGCTGTCTGAGCAATACTTCTATATCCTATACTATCTTGAATGTGTTGCAGATTCGTCAGATTACTGAGGTGCCAACGACAACAATGACTTCGCTGCGCGTGCTTGCGTGCGTGTGTGTGTGTGTGTGTGTCTGTGTGTGTGTGTGCGCGTGTATGCGCCTTCACTTTTGTGTCTGTAATAGTATCTCTGTGTAAAAGCGTCTGTGTGTAAAAGTATCTGTCTCTAGAAGTGTCTGTGTGCAAACACGTTTGTATAAAAACTTCTGTGTGTAAAAACTTCTAATTGTAAAAGCGTCTTTGTGTAAAAAACGTCTGTGTGTAAAAGTGTCTTTGTGTAAAACTGTCTGTGTGTAAAAGTGTTTGTGTGTAAAAAAGTATCTGTCTCTAGAAGTGTCTGTGTGTAAACACGTTTGTGTATAAAAACTTCTGTGTGTAAAAACTTCTAATTGTAAAAGCGTCTTTGTGTAAAAAACGTCTGTGTGTAAAAGTGTCTTTGTGTAAAACTGTCTGTGTGTAAAAGTGTTTGTGTGTAAAAATGTGGTGGTGTAAAAGTCTTTGTATGTAAAGGCGTTTGTGTGTAAAAGCGTCTGTGTGTAACAGCTTCTTTGTGTAAAAGCGTATGTGTGCAAAAGCGTCTGTGTGTAAAAGTTTCTTTGTGTAAAAGCGTCTGTGTGTAAAAGCGTCTGTGTGTAAAAGGGTTTGTGTGTAAAAACGTTTCTCTTTAAAAAGTTCTGTGTGTGTGGAAGACTATTTGTCTTGATACTACTCTTCTTTGAAAGTAGTGCTATACATCTTTAATATATTGTCTTGTACTATGGTGTCTCCATACTAACGAGAGAAGACCCTGCTCCTCTACGCTCTCGGGCCATCCGTCGTCTAGTTTGCAAGACCCGAAGGTAAAAAAAAAAACTCTTCGAACACATTCCGCCAAAGCAAGGCGACATACGCCACAAGGTAGTTTTGTACACCGAAGAGAAGAGGGAATTGAACCCTTTCGCCGTCCGAGAGGTCCAGAATGAGATCGCCCGGAGACGCATCAATAATGTGCTAGAGGTTTTCCACGACATGGACATGGGCTACCAGACCGATGTGTGGGATCTAAATATCTACTAGATATTTAGATCCCACACATCGGTCTGGTAGCCTAGAGCACTGCCATCATAGAGCACATAGCGGAATAGTCTTAGCACCTGGTGCGGCTTGCAGGTGAAGAGAAAAGGGGAGAGAGAGAGAGAGGGAGAGAAGAGAGTTCCTTTGCGTCGATGTCATTTGAGTAGGCGAAGGGAGAGTTGGTGACACATTGGTACCTTCCTTTGACGGACTGCTTCTGTGCCAATAGTTTTGGAGGAAAGTTTGCTTGGCTTGCAAACCGGGACTATTTTGCTACAACGACAATTCCAGCATATTCCAGCCGTAGGAAAGAAACATCTTAAGTCATCCTGTTGTGAACAGTTTTCAGCTCAAGCCTGACCGCTCAACAAAAGGGCGGCAATTGGCTGGCACTTGGACTTGGCACTGCGCCAGTCTTCCAGCCAAGGTGGGGCATGGTGGGGCACCATCTAGGATGGCGTGGTCCTTCTTGGTGTTTCGGGTTGCTGAAAAGTTTGCTCCACATGACGATACATGACGCAAAACATATTGGGGCGTTATTTTGTTTTCACTGCAGGAGGAAAACAACTGTTCTTGGTAGCGAATCACCCTGGCCATAGGATCAACGAAGAAATCTTCAGATCAGACCTGCTCATCAATCTGGAAATTGAGGTGCCAATAGCCATCAGAGCCATGCATACACGTGTCCGGCGCACCAAGGGTGTGGTGGTAGGACAGTGATGAGTCGAAACTTCATGAAACTGCAGAAAAACCAAGGGGACAACACTGACAATGTGATAAGAGGGGGGTCTTGATGTTTGCACTTGTTTCTGATTGTTCCAACCTAAGGATAGAATCGGATAAACATGAGGAAGCGTTCAAACCGCAAAGATAGGTCATCAAGGCTACGTTTCCTTCCAATGGACATGCACTAGTTAGTTTCGGATGGTTTCGGGAATTTAGGATGATTTATTTAAGGATATTTAAGGTGGTTTGATGGTAGAAACGAATAGAAACGACCAGCCTTCTGTGGGCTCACAGGTACTGTGTACTATCCCAATGCTTTCACTGCCCAAAACAGGGGAATCCAAAACTCCCACTACCGAGACGCGACCGCTGAGTGGTCCGTCGAGCCCCAGTCGAGTACGGAAACGCAGTTGGAATGGGCCATGAACGTGGCAGGACGTTTTTTTTTGCGAGTTGGTGTTTGTGTATGAACATTCAGAGTCTTCTCGAAATAAATATGTACCAGAGTGCTAGCTGCTGGTATGTTGGACGGAAAGCCATCCATGAAGGTTAAAAGATGTTGAACCCTGTAATCCGAAATGAATCGAAATTGAATATCCATTGAATTGCATGTTTATAATCATGTTTATGTATTGTCACAGCTACAGTCATAGGATATCACCACTCATATTCCGCATAGTAACTAGCTTGTTCTCTGACATGGATCGCTGCCGTGTCAGGTGGCTCCCCGGCCCCGAACCACGGGTGGTCCACCAAGTCGGAGCCGCAAAGTTTCGAGGGGAGTTGTCCCAAGTTATGGTCATTGTTTATATGGGTTTGTCTGAAAATAGGGTATATTCCCAATGAAATAGCCATTTAATAGGGATAATGATCAGCAAAACCATTGGGTTTAGGGGTACACTATTTTCAGACACACCCATATGGAAACCAACGGATTTTGGTTTCAAAAATATCTCCCAATGTTAAAAAAGCCTTATAGCCTCATAGCAATAGAATCACAATTTCACTGTAGATTTAAAACATGTAAATTTTGTATGTGTCAGCGTAAGCTGTGTGAGTGCGCACGTTTGTGTCACTTTATCTAAGTTCTGACTTTCTAACCGAATATCAGTTGGGAGTTGACATACCCAGGTACCGCATGTCTACACCAATAACAAACCAATCAGCCTGGTGTAAGTTCATTGGGTCTGAACCCACCGCAAAGAGTTTGCCAAAGTTTCTGAAGCGTTCCACGGATTCAGTTTTGATTTGTTCTGGTTCATCTGCAGCCCAACGAATCAGTTTGGACATATTTGGACATCATTTTCCCATAACTTCATGAAATCCTCCTTTCATCCCCAGCCGGCCTCTAGGCCCAGTGAGTTCGAAGCGACAGGAGCTGTTGGGTCATCAGTAACAAATTGCCACATCTTGCCAAAAGTATCACCACAATGATGATCCGATGATAATGACCATGATACAAAGAAAAAACAGTGTAGGAATGAGACTTGTAATGATATCTAATGACAGTGATGAAACATCAGTTGATAGTAATGATAATAGTACTGGCCAGTAATGAATGTAATGGTAGCAATATATGGCAATGCTGGTCATTTCAGAGTCACAGTCGTTTGACTCGCGTGACGAGCCTTCCGGGCTTCCGGGATTCCGAGGAGGGGCCGATGTCCCGTCGAGCTGTCGGCAGGGGATTCCGGGGATTCCGGGGATTCCACTGGCATCTGTTTGAATCGTTTGGTGAGAAGATTAAGAAAGACATGGAAAGACATGGAAAGACCCAATTGTTTTCTTCTAAGTTTGGTCGAGCTGAGGATTGACGTGCTGACTGTTCCTCAGGTTCTTGAATCCCCCAGCCGTTTACAGACGCGCCCAACAGATTGTTGACAGATTGTTGGCGTGAATTCAGCATATTTCAGCCATGGCCGAGGCATTGATCACCCTTGAAGTGACAAATTTGCAAGGTAAGAGGTACAAGTTTAGTGATGTACCTCTTTCACTGACCGGCAAAGCCTTGCAAGAATTGATTTCTGGCCGGCTTCCCTTCAAGCCAGGATCGTACATCTCCCTCCAACATGGATCTGTACCGCTTTCCTTCGACCAGACACTGCTGGAACAAGGCATTGGATGTCAGGTTGACCAGGTCACCTTAACAAGCGTGTACCTTCCGGTGAAGATCCAGGCTGCATGGAGCTACTTGAGGGACCATCACCCAGATATGTCGTCCTTGCAGGGGGTGACACAGTTGGAAGGGATCGGATCTATGCTACATCTCTGGAATTTGCCGCATAGTCTGCAGACTTTGACTCTGAGGGATTATTTCAACCGTAGTTTGCAACTCATAAACTTGCCAAATGGCCTGCACACTTTGACTTTTGGCTTGGAGTTTAATCAAAGCTTGGATGGGCTGAACCTGCCCAGGGCTCTGCGAAGATTGACATTTGGCCATTGTTTCGATCAAAGCATCGATAACGTGACATTGCCGAGTGGCCTTCAGAGCTTAACTTTTGGCTTTTGTTTCGATCAAAGCCTCGACGATGTGAACTTGCCCACGGGGCTTCAGAGCCTAACTTTTGGTCATAATTTCGATCAAAGCCTAAACAACGTGAACTTTCCAAGTTCTCTTCGAGATTTGACTTTTGGCAGCGCTTTTGACCAACGACTAGATCACGTGAATCTACCTAGTGGGCTACAGAGTTTGATTTTCGGCGTGGAGTTTAACCAGAGTCTCGATGACGTCAACTTGCCACGTGACCTCCAGACCCTGACTTTGGGAGACCGGTTCAACCAGACGGTGGAATGCGTGAAATGGCCCTCTGGCCTCCGCAGTTTGTCTTTTGGCAGTCGCTTTAATCAAAAGATGGATATGACGACCCTGGGTGAGCTTGAAACCTTGACATTGGGCGATTGCTTCACAAACATGAAGCTGGGCAGATTACCTGGAAACCTCAGGAGCATCACTTTTGGTTATGAGTGTCAGGACATCGACAAGTTGCCAACAAGCTTGGAGAGCCTAACGTTTCAACCTCGTGTGAGCCAAACGGAGACAGACTTGCCAGGCGGTTTGAGACACCTGACTTTCGGCCGACGTTTCAATCAGAGCCTTGATGGCATGAATTTGCCAAGTGGACTACAGAGCTTGACATTTGACTATCATTTTAATCAAAGCCTGGACCACTTGAAGTTGCCCAGCAGCCTCAACAGTTTGAAGTTTGGTTATTGCTTTGACCAGACCCTAGACCGTGTGAACTTGCCCAGCGGCCTGCAAAGCTTGACTTTCGGATATAATTTCAATCAGAGCCTTGATCGCGTAGAGTTGCCCCGTGGTCTTCAGAGCTTGAAATTTGGCTACATCTTTGTTCTGAGCCTCGAACATGTGAAGCTGCCGGATGGGCTTCTAAGCTTGACTTTTGGCTACTGTTTCAACCAGAACCTAGATCATGTCGACTTGCCAGATAGCCTTCAAACCTTGGCTTTTGGCTGCCACTTTAATCAGATGCTTGATCACGTGAAGTTGCCAAATCATCTTCAGAACTTGTCTTTTGGCAATTTCTCTCAAAGCTTACATGATGTGAGTTTACCCAGTGGACTCAAGAGCTTAACATTGCTCTCCAGTTTCACCAAGAGTTTGGCCCAACTTCATTTGCCATCCTTGGAGAGACTGGAACTGGGCAATGCCTTCTGCATGGAAGGCGCGGACCCGGCAGACCTTCCAAACCTTCGAGAGTTGCGATGCCGAAAGTACTTCCTGAGCACAGTGGTGACTGATCTGCCTGGAACCAGCTGAATGTCAGCTGAATGTCAGCTGAATGTCAGCTGAATGTTTGCGATGGACACTGGACACTGGAGGCACATGCAAAAAATCTGGAGGTCGATGGGGAAAAAGCATGAAAAAGCCGGTTTTGGGAAATTGTACGGAGTCCAGCCCAGCACCCACAATGCCGGGGAAGCAGATCAAAATACCAAATGGCTATCGGGGGCGCATTTGTCCATGTCACCACATGTTTTTCTTGTGCGGTGAAACTGGGTGAGACCAACCCATATTTCTTTGCATTAATCGATACAACAGTGAGCTAGGGATGTCTACCCCAGTCTATCAATGCTAGCTCATCTCTTATTGACTGTTTCGCAAAGTCTGTGGGCACAGGTGAGCTTTAGTGCCCGTATCAGGTGTCCAGAGCCTTTGCTACTTGGATAACCACATCCCCGGAATGGTACTTGTGGGAGTCCAGTCGCATCAAAGATGAAACAATAGTAAGATGAACGATCCTGAGGTTGGGCCCGGTTGGAATATCATGATCTACTGAGTCTACTGCAACCAATTTGGGACATTTGCTGCCGAGGCCCGTCAATGTCACGCGTCAGCTCCAATGGCGACGTCGGGAAGGACGCCCAATGGATGGAATGTTCACGACATTTCACGACTGAGTTACGAAACCCCACCAAAGTCACCAAAGAGAAGGTTTTGAAGCCTGCTTAAACAATCCAATCTTAAAGTCTACAGAGTTGAGAAGATAAGCATGCACGTGGTGCAGAGCACATTGTCGTCCCCAAGTGGTCGTAGCAATCTCCGAGCTATCGGCAGGAAGAACGCACATCTCCAGGTTCGCCTATGGCGGCACCCAACTCCCCTGAGGAAAAGCTTGAAAAACTGGTGCGGAGCCTAGGGATGACCGGAAGATTAGCAGGTGTTTGATGGTTTTTGCCTGGCAAAAACCGGTTTTGCCCGAAAAAAACACTAAAATCCACTGTTTGTATTTGTGTTTAATCATGATTTTCCGAAAAAAGCTGAAATTAATCGACATTGCAATTCTGGGGGAATTTTGGGGGATGAACCAGGAAATACACCATTTCTGGGCAAGGCCATGTTGCAGGATAGAACAGAAGTAGGCTCCAACCCTGTTCAATGGACGGATTTGAATAAGCTGGAACATTTCCTGAACCCATTTGGTGACTTCAAAGATTCGTCACTCCATCCTTTTCCAACCCAACATGGATTGAATCCCCAGGGGGATGGCCGTGGCCTGTTCCACGTCATCGAGCAACTGGCCGCTTTGGAGGTGGAGATTGCCTCGTTTTGGATGAAGTTGGGGAAAAAAACGATGTAGAGAATCCTGGGGACATTTTTTTGGATGATGTGGAATTATGTTTGATTGATCTTATGTGATATAAAATGATATAATGATATATCTCATTGGGGAGTTCTGGATTTTCTGGTGGAAATGTGCAACAAAAATAACACGGCATTATCACAGCATTGCACAATCAGCCATTTTGTTCACATGGTCAGAATGAATATCATAACAAGTTGGGTTGATCAAAACCGAGCCAGGGTGCCCTCTGGAGCATTTTGGATGGGCTGAAATCCAATGCGACTCACGTCTCCTTCTTTTGCCGTGAGTGAGCCCTTTGAGTTGGAGGTGGACACGGATTTTCCACAGTCAAATTGGATTTCCCCAGTTCCATGTTTCATTCCCAAGCCTCATGCTAAAGTTGGATCATGAAGAAAACAACAGTTTCATATAATTACACAATATAGAGAATATATAATATATATATATATGTAAAATAGTAATAATAGTTTTAATAATGATAATAATATATATATAATAATCATATTTACATAATAATATATATATGACTATAATAATAGATAATAGATATAATAATATATAATAATAATGATGATAATAATAATAATATATATATAATAACAATAATGATAAAAAATAATAATCTATATATATATAATAGTAATAAGAAGAAGAAGAAGAAGAATAATAGTAATCATAATAATAATAATATATACAATAATAATATATAATCATATACAATAATATATATATACATAATCATATACAATAATTATATATATATATAATCATATATATATATTTCTTGCAGATTAGAAATCATCCCCCCATATTCCCATTACAACCCCCATCCAATCCCTGTGATATCCACAGGTACTGGGGCACCTCAGCCTCCCATGCGCAACTGTCCTTAGAGAAGTTGGGTTTCCATGAGCGACTCAAGCGTCAGGCGGGGCAGATGCCAGGAAGATCTTCCTATTTCGGGTGTAACCCCAACCATGATGTGTCACATGAGTATAGTGGAAAGCTGATTGACAAGATATCCATTACAAGATATCCATTGAGGGATATCCAAGGTAAAAGAATGATTTTTAAGGATGTGCAATCTGCAGAATTTGCCCAAGGTGTCTTGGACTGTTGCAGACATGACTGAGTTTTTGTTGAACCCTGAAGAGAGAATTCTTTCTGCCAACACAGCTCAGCAGATACTGATGCTTAGCTAGACCAAATACCAGAGCGTCGGCCAATTTCAACCCAGACCCAAGAAAACTTAGGTCTGGGTTGAAAAACGCCGCTCAGCAGGTACAGCAAGCTTGTGTCCTTGAAAGTCTGAGCCTGGGCGTGTGGAGCCCTGATCCCCTCACCTCCGGAAACTGCAAACCAAACCAGCAGCCGAAAAATGTGTTTCCCACCCCAATAACATCCAATAACATCCAATAACATCCAATAACATCCAATAACATCCAATAACATCCAATAATATCCAATAACATCCAATAATATCCAATAATATCCAATATTCCATACATGTCCATGTATTTCCATTTATTCTGTGGTTTTGATTGGTCAAATCTCCTTGTTTCATCAGGATTTCACCGCTGAGGTTGCATCACATTTGTGCTCCGGCACCATGCAGGGAGTGTCTGTGACCATTCGTTCCAGGTTACGAAATCTCCTGTGCGCCCAAGGGACAGCTCCAAAGTGATAGCCCTTGCATCATTTGCAACATTCTGAACATCATCATAAACATCTTGGAACTCTATTTAGACCAAAGAGTTACTCATTAGGGATTAAGGAAACTAAGGAAAAAAATATGGAAGTCCATTTTTTATGCATTTGTTGAAGTATAGCTACCTGGCACCTCACAAGTACAATTGTTGGCTTTTACCGATGATCTTGCGTGGTCACAGTTGTCACAGGTACTACGTCCACGAGAACTGCTTGGTTCTGCTGGATTTGGTTTGGCCTCTCAAGCTTTGGGAGGGACCAAGATAGGTTTCTTTCCATGCGGGGTCTAAAATGCATCACTGAAGCAACATACCATCATGGCAAACATTCAAACCTCGCAAAGCATGTTGAAACAAGGTAGATCGACATGAATTTAGCATGATTTAGCAGCTAGTTCAGCATGGTTTAATATGGTTTAATAATTAATATATGAATTTTCCACATGTTTTTTCACCCAGGTGTGTCAACGTTGGCTGGCAGAGCAGTCCTGGCGTTCTGCCGAGCCGTGAGCCCATGGCTTGTTGATGATCCAGTTGACCCAAACACATCAGTTCTTCATCACCACCAGGGTGATTATTGTGGGTCAACTGGATATTGTTTGGGTCAACTGGTGATTGTTGATGATTATTGTTCATGATATTGTTGATGTTGTTGTTATTGTGGCTATTGTCGTTACTGTCACTATTATCACCTAATATAGTGTAGCTTGTGACCATGAGCCATGCAGGTACGGCCATTGCAGGGAACCTCGGACTGTGCCGGCTGCGATGCTTGTGGCGATGCATCAAGCCTCACCCGGTTGCCATGTTTTTCGTTCGACCGATCCCGCAGTTTGAAAACTGCGGATTGTGAATTCCTGCGCTGAGGCCCCGAAAACCTGAACTTGGACATCTTGGTGCCTCCCAGCGATGCTGGATGCTATGGGATGCTATGGGATGCTATGGGCTGGGGCGCGTTCAGGTTACTTCAGGTCCCATGGTCCCATGGCTCAGATGCAACGCAGATAGGATGGTTGCTGACAGCGGGTCACACCGGTGCCATTGGGACGCTCTCAAAAAGATTCATGAAAAATGAGAGATCCTGAAACTGCATCAGTTGTTCTTGAATCCTGAACTGTTTGTGAACCTATCAACAATAAAAATCAATAAAAATCAATATCATCGATATCCTTGTGCCATGCCCCATGGCGACCTGGAAGCTGGTTGGGATCCCAAGCGTGACGGGATTTGGTTCCAAACATGTGGATACCATGGGAAAAAACGGGCGATTTTACTGGGGAAAATATAGATTTTACGATGATCAAAGATATAAACCAATGGTTTTTGGTGGCATATTTTCAGAAGCCAGCAGGATTTTGTTGGTTATCGTATGCATGAAGTCAAATAACCATTGCCCACTGGCCGTGAAATTGAACAGCTGCTGCCCAGAGCAGACTGTACCATTTGTATGAGAAAAGTGTGTGACTGACTTTATCAGATTTTAATCAACCTCTTTCGATTTGTGTCGGGGCTGAAGCCGTCTCCCAATGACACCTCGCACAATTTGGCTCAGACACTGCTGTAGTTAGATATGATCAAAGGTCAGCTTCAGCCATTTGCCCAGATGGCTTTGCGCATGTTCTTTCTCATTGATTGTATTCATTGGGATTCCCACATTCAGTGAAATTTCATACCATCCTTACTGGAGTATCTGAGTAAGACATTGTGAGCCAGACGCAGCCGACTACCTCAACAAGGCCAAAGTTTTACAACTCCTTTCACCGCTGAAACAGAGATATCATGATTTTCTGAACTTCTTGGGATATTTGGGATTTACTTTCCCTTCAGCCACACCCGACCAGCCCTACCAGCCCTACCAGAACAGCTTAACCCGGGGGCACCTCGTCACGAAAAAAAAAAACAGCAGAGCCGCCCGATGAGCAATGCATCCTCACCGCGGCGAGCAGCGACTGCATCTGACTGAGAAATGCCCTCGGGTGGGTTTTGAAAAGTGGCGTCATAACACTGTCATACCAGGTAATTACCAACTGGCTTGATGATGTATGATGATGTTTGATCATGTCTAACGGGGGTTATCGAACAAATCTGATATGTGAACCCCAGTGAAATTGAAGAAACTCTGACAGATTCTTCATCCAATCTGCTGAATGTCAAAGAGCTGCAAGAGATGTGATCCTGAGTTGCTAAGGCAGATTCCTCACCGGTGCCGGCCCCGTCCCCGGTGGATTTCGGCGAAGCCGGGCAGCCCAGATCCTGAAAGCTGGAAACTGCAGCACCGGGGAGAAGATTTTGGCATGTTTTTTAAATGTGTTTTTAACTTGTTTTTTCCCCACATCTTTGTAGTGCACTCCCGCGTGCTTCCGCCTCCTCCGCCTCCTCCGCCTCCTCCTCCTCCCGCCCTGCCTCCCACACACAACTTGTCCCCACACCCACACACACACACACAACTTACTCACACACAACTTGTCCACACACAACTTGCTCACACACAGCTTGTTAACACACAACTTACTCACACACAGCTTGTTCACACACAACTTACTCACACACAACTTGTCCACACACAACTTGCTCACACACCTGGCAATTATGGCACGGGGCTGGCTCTGGTGGTGCGCTTGGGTCGGCAGGCGTGGCACTTGGCGACATCGACCTCCACTTTGTGTGGCAGGCGTGGCACTTGGCGACATCGACCTGCACTTTGTGTGGCAGGTGTGGCACTTATGGCACTGGGCTGGCTCTGGTCGCTTTTGTCACACACAACTCTTTCATGCACAACTTTGTCGCACATTTCTTTCACACACAACTTTGTCACACATTTCTTTCACACACAACTTTGTCATACACATACAACTCTTTCACACACAACTTTGTCCAACACAACTCTTTCACACACGCAACTTTGTCACGCACAACTCTTTCACACACAACTCTTTCACACACAACTTTGTCACATACACTCTTTCACACATAACCTTTTACACCCAACTTTGTCACATACAATTCGTTCACACACAACACTTTTACATACACAAACTCACACACACACACACAACACTGTCACACACAGCTCCTGTCTTGCACCATCTCCTTTCTCTTTCCTGCCTTTCCCATCTCGTTTTCACATCTGCTTGGTGATTATTGGAAGAAGCTGACATGTGGGGTTTTCCGGTCCTTTGATGTCCTTTAATTACATGTTTATGAATCAACTCAACATCCAACCCCAACAGGAGTTCGTCCTGAAATCTGTCTTCAATCTTGGAATCTTGGATTGGTAAGAAAAAGAAATGGCTACATGACTTAAAGCTGAATGAAAATGGGGAAGCTTCTCTAGATCCACAGCCTTGGCTCAGGGCACTTCACGGTCAGTGACTTGGCGTCAACTCACCACTCACCACAGCAGTGTGTGAAAGGTTGGAATGTGAGGGATCTTTTCCTTGGGCCAAACATCTGATGCAAAAGAAAATGCAAAATTGGCAAAAGTAGAGCTGTAGGTTGGGAAATTGTCTTGCTATTCAATCTTTCTGCTAAAGAGGGAGTGAAACAGCAGCTTGTCTCTTTCAGATCTTTGTCTCAACGCTTAGACGTCAATAATTGAGAGGGACCATTTTCGCCGCAGCTGAGTACGAGGACGGAGTGTTCCGAGATTTTTCAAGCGATCTCACAATGTCACTTGGCCAATAAGGGTTTGAGCTTGGATTTGGGCTGGATCATGGAGCTTTCGATAGCTTTCGGTTTCAAACATCCACATTCTGGTGGGAAAAAGGTATCCACGGATCTATCCATGGATCCTTGGGGGCAAAGTATGGCAAACCCAGATGTGAGTCGATCAAACAAAGTTTCTTTGCGTCAGATTTAGCCATGACAGCAGACCCTGTGAGTCCGCGTCAAAGCCGTGTGATTCTGCCAGGACATCTTGCCATTCCAAATTTCCCAATCACTTTGGGCCAAAAATTGGATTATAAAATTCTTTGGCCACCTTTTGATCATTTTTGATCCAAATATTTCCATATATTTCCATATATTTCCTACATATCCCGAATCAAACTCTGGATATCCGATCTGATGGGACTCGATCTGCAGCCCAGTCTGGAGTTCTAAGGATCTCCTTTGGAATTCCCTTGGCATCTGGGCGAATTGGGAGATGTCTACCATTAGATCATAAAGGATACAACGATACATAGAATCATATAGAATCCACTGAAAAAGAGAAAAAAAATGGAAAAAAGATGGAAAAAGTGGATCCCACTGAATCTGACTTTTCACGTTCCAAAACCTTGGGCTCCTGGTGGTTTGCCATCGCAGTCACAGCTCAAAAAAGAGCCATCCGATGCATCAGCCAAGGAAGATCGACAAGCGAAGCGATTTACGATTCGTGTTTTCATTTTGGCTGTGGCCATTGCTGCTTGGTCTCTGATGCATTTCATCGCGACACTTGGCACTGAAAGGAACTTGTGGCTGCACTGATCACAACATAATCCGGCTCTTCAAACACCTTCAAATGAAAGTCCAGTTTTTGCACAAATCCAAGTGCTTGTACATTGGATGGAAATTCACAGTCGACAGCGTGTCGATGTCCGTTTTTTGTTGCTCTTTGTGACTATACAGCAAAAGTATGCAGAAGTATGCAAAATGAAGCAAATGGATTTGCCCACAAAATGTTTGTTTGCTGAAACTGAAATGCGTTCTTCTGGTGGCAGAGGGTCTGTCCATCTCAGGAACTTGCTGATGGGCCGGTATAGCGGTGCCTTTGGTCCACATGCTGCATCCATGAAAGAATTGGGGAATGTTGGAGCATCCAGATCCCAGGCAACGACATGGCAGCTACCAAAAAGTTCATTGACCATTTGATGATATTTGATGCAAAATTCCAACAGATCCATGAATTGTCAACAACATTCAATGGATTCAACTACTGACCGACTGACCGTATCATTTTGCAGATTTCAATCCGGCCCACCGGATTGTTCCGGTGTTTTTCTTTGCTGAGAATCCGCGGACGGCTCCAACGGCATTTGGTCCTCCCTGTCGGGCTTGTTGATCGAATTGAGTATCCCTGCCTCTGGTGACTTGTCAACGGGTTATAACGGGTTTTGGTGGTACGTCTTCTACGGAATTTTGACGGTTGGTGAGTGGGTAGGGTATTGTTCAGCTTGGTCACTGCTGGATTTTAGTCATATATTTGGTTTGGGTCTTGTTAGTCTTGTTCGGGTACAACCAATCAAAGAAGCCAAAGTACTTAAGAATTGGGATATGTTGTGACCAAGATGTGTTGGACTTTGTGCACCCGTTTTTGCTTCGATGGCAAGGCTACATGGGCGCTTTGTACCATAATCGACAGCTCACCTGCTGTTTCTGCAGCTGCAATCTCTTTCTGGCCATCCTCTCTGTGGCGTATCTTGACAGAGCTCGTACCAGTGAGAGCATGATGTTTACTGCAGAAAGCCTTCCAATTCTCCTTTCAGTGATTCATGTTTCATCACCTTGAACGCATCTTGTGGTGTAAGTTGAGATCAACAGTTCACCATAGCCGCCATAGCCATTCCATGTATCCCATTCTTGTCTATGGTGCAATGGTGGGATGAGCTGGTCGAGATATGTCGAGATAAGTGGTTTTCGTGTAACATCTCCACAACCATGGGCGATGTCCATCTCTTTCCCTATGTGTTTTTGGGTGGTTACATAGATATCCCAGCTTGACCTGATCCCCAAGTCATGACAACAACTGCTCAGGTCATTCACCCGTTGGGCACTGAGTTGGGCGTTATGAACTGGTGATCAACTGGAAGCCACGGTTTGAAAAACCACCTGAGAATGATTGAAGCAGCTGTTTTTATCATAAAATATCATTCTGCTGATTTTATTCTGATTTTATGAACTTGATAGGTATTTTCGATACCCAAACAGCTCTCAAATTCATGCTGGTGTTCTTTCTCAGATGTAGATTTTGCCGTAGACATGCCATTCCCTCTGGCATTGGTGCATTTGGGGCCCAAGATGGAGACATGTTCCAGCAGACTGCTACTTATCTTTTCTCTTATTTTTCTCTTGACTCAAGGTGTCAGAAGCATTCCTCATTAGTCTTTGTCCTCTGTACGCCTGAGGTGCACAATGTATTTTTGAGAATTGTACACAGGTATCTTTTGCATGTCATAACCACACTGTAAGCAAGACATCCCATATACACACAAGAGTAGTTGAGGTCTTGTGGTCAGATTGGTTGAGCTGCGGGGTGACTGCGAAGCTGAAACTGACTACAGTCAGCGGTCCGTTTGCGAGATGTGGGAGGACCAGATGGTCGATTGTGTGGATGGGATGGCACTAGATGGGAGGGTGGATGCCGTCGGATTTTAAGGTCGTCTTTTGCAGACATGAAAAGGTCAGAAGTTTTCCTGTGCTATGTTCCTATTCTATCCTATTCTATCATTAGTGAGCAAGCTGGTCCTGGAAGATACGGTCCTTGATTGTCCTGCAGGACAATGGAGCTCAGAAGAATCTCGAAGTGGAATGCAGGGAAGGCTGCAGTGGGTTGAACTGAGCTTTTCCCACGCCTTTAAACTACGGATTTTAAACTAATCAAACGTCATTTGGCAAGTCAAGAAGTCACCATTTGTATGATTTGAAGTTGGCAAAACGTTGTGTGACGCACAATCAAACATGTGACTTGACAAGAAGGCTAAAAGTCACAGCTGCGTTCATTTGACCTTTTTGTCCAGCCCTGCTGCGGTTCACGCTTTGAGCATTTGGGCAATTGACAGGTATATTTATAATAGTTTATAATATATAACTATAAACAGAACTATGATTATATATATATATACTGGTCCAAGTACATCAATGCAAACACAGGCCGAAATGAATGTCGCAACACATACAGAAAACCTCCGAATACAGTCTTTGTGAAGTGATGTTATGGCTGTTCAAATCCAGATATGGGATGTTGCAGGGGAAAACCACTTCCCAGATCTGCCCAATATCTCTCAAAGAGTGCAGAACCACCATGGATCCATCACCCTCACCAAGGTATGTCTTTCTGACCAATCTCATTTGTAGCGCGGTCTTGTCGTGTTGTGCTTGTTGGGCCGGCAGCTTGGAGACACATTGATGGGCCTAGCTCCGGATGTTGAATCCTCCAAAACGTTTGGAGCCGGCCACCTTTTGGAGGACCTCCAGCCTACTAGCCACGTCTAGTCACGTCGAAGTACGGGGTTGCCATGGGTTGCCATTCCTGCTCCGAGGTAATATGCTCTTCCAAAAATTGTCACCCGAACAACCACAGATCGACACCACGTCAGTGGTAGGAGAGGTGCCATAGGGCCATAGATGGGCCATAGGGCGTCAAGGTCACTGTTCGGGGAAAGTCAAAGTAAGCTTGATAAGTCAAAGTAAGCTTGAGAATCTATAAGAATTCAATATGAATTTAATAATTTAATATGAATCAATGAAGGACTTAAAGTTTCAACCTGGTTGGATGATGCGATTCCCAAGCTGCACAGCATTGGGGACTGCGCAGCGTATCACAGGTGGTACAACTTGGCGTCCTTTGGTTGCAGAAGGTTTGGGAGCGGGAGGGTGGAACTACAGGGAACTACTGCGTGCAGTTTCTGGAAGCTGCTTCACCATGGATGTTGACCAGATTTGGATGCCCCGAGTTTTTCCACGGCTTATAACAACTTATTAGAAGGCACATAGAACAGCATAGAACAGCAAGTATGTCTAAGCCCCAAACGGCAGACATACAGAACAGATTGTGCGTGCCTCGACCTGGTCCAGTCACTGAGAAAGCGAGGTCAGTATGCCCTTGAGCGTAACGACCTCGGGCAACACTACGCCAAGTGGCCAGGCAAGCTAGCAACATCTAGATCATCTAGCAACACATGGTGAGAATAATAATTTCCATCTAGCAGCTAGTGTGATATCAGCACAACCAATTGATACCAATTGTCTTCTTTTGATCGAGAATGATATGTTTGTAAGTCTATATTATATGTTGGCTGCATAGGAATGTATATGTTTAAGATCTACTTTTCTTGTGGACCATGTTGAGGGATGTGTTTGTTTTGCTGTGAAACCATGACGGCACAAGATGTTGCGCGAAACATGGAACCCCCAACAATGAGCTCAACAATGAGCTTCTACGATGGTTTTTCTCGCTTGACTCCTGGCCGTGTTGGGTTCCAAGCCTGCTATTCTGTATTGATCTAACTCAGCCAACCAAAACTGAGGATTTCATAGGTTATTCAGCTGGATTTGGATATTCAGCATCCAATTCGTTGATAAAAAAATGGGTGCCAGGTGACGACCCTCTACTCCCTGGATCCCAGGCCTTCGGGTCCAGGTGCGGCCGTGGAAACCAGGCATCACCATGTTTTTCTTGGAGGGATGTCTTTACTTTAGAAATCCATAGAAATCCTGGATTTCTTAAGAGATGTTGACATTACTTTGTTAGTTTTTGGTTCAGGATAGAGTAATGAAGTTTGGCAACTATCATCTCTGTGAAGTTGGCATTGGCGTCCGCGCAGGTCGTTCCACTTGGACGGAACCGCTCTGAGGGCAGCTAAATCGATTCATGGTGAAGTTCCGACTTCAAAAGCTTTGGATAGAGTGGCTGATTGATCTGGGAGTTTAATGATATTCTATGGTGTTCAAGAAAAAATAGGATAAGGTGGGGGAAAAAAAAAAACTATCCCGATTTGTTTTGGAAAGACATGGAAGAATCGTCCAAATTTGCTTCAGCATTTTGAGGTTCCATGGATCGTGCTGCAACTGCCTGTAAGGTTCTGCCTTTTTCGCAAATCTGTCAAGACTTGGAAGAGAAATCAACAGCTGTGGTCTCGACGAGTAGCAAAATGGGGCTGAAGTGCCATATTAATCCATATTATACCATTGAAGGGGCCAGGGTTGAAGCATAAAGCACCAAATGGCATGTGGCTCTGACCAGGTTGTTCAATCTTGAGGTGCTGTTTCAGGTGTCCAGCTATTGATTCAATGACTAGACGTTCGGCAGTTGAGGCAGGTAGAGCTTGGCTTTGACGAAAATTTGTCCCAGCAGAGTTCCGCCATGTGTTGAAGTTTTTTAGAACAACAGTTGTGACAGTTCTGTGCCAGGGATGCAGAATGCATGCTCGGCACACGGTGGCCACACCAGACCGGATCTGCACAGCGGTGTGGCTGCGGTCACAGGGCGAAGATGATGAAGATGGACGAGCGTCAGCGAGCAAAAGCTGAAAATACGATCGCTTTTGGAACTGGATGCTTTGTAGATGATAGATGATGATAGTATAGTATAGTATATTTATATATGTCTATAGTTTCCTGGCCTGATTCCATCTCTTTGGATGCTTCACCAGTCATATTGTCAGTTTAGGCTATGTCACAAGATAATGTAGTTCTTAAACGTTGAATTTGCTGACTGTCATAGATTGATACTGATGTCTTTTCATGTCACCGCGCCTTGCGGGAAAACATCCCTTTGCTTTATCTTCCCACAACTCCCAACAACTTTCCATGTTCCGGCAATGGAGCTATAGCCTATTATAGCCTAGCTTTATCTGGTATCTCCAAGAGAAATCAATGGATGGTATATGGATGGTATTGACTTGCATGGTATTATATTAGGTATTTATATGGTGTTATATGGTATTATATTAGGTATTTATATGGTATTATATGGTATTATATAACCAACAGATCATCTAATACCTATTTATGGTATTATATTGATTGATAGATGGTATATCAAGAGAAATCAGTTTTTGAACAACCAACAGAACCAACCTGATCTGATCGAATCTAATCTGGACTCGGCTCAGAGGGGCTTTTCGGCCCTGGGGAGTTGCCCCAGGCGGCCCAGGCTTACCCCCAGCTCTTCCCCCAGCTGGATGTATAAATTGAGTAGACGTTTAGATTGTTTAGGACGTATTTAGTATCATGATCTACCGGATTTAGTTATCATAAATTGAACATATTCTAGATTTGAGTACTACTTGTATCATCTATCAATCATCTATCAACTAGATCATCAATAAATTACCTAAGATTACTGAGCTTCAAGACTATTTCATAGAATTCTGTACCATCAACATGTTACCCCAAGGTTACCCCCAGGCCACATCTTCTCAGCGTTGAGTCCTTGACGCGTTGGATGAGCCATGAGCGACGCGCCGAACAGCGATGGGCAGAGCGATGGAAGGGCGCGCTGCTTGAACCGCTGGGACCCGATTTTTTTGGGCCAAGAAGCAGTGCATTATTATTAACATAATAGCATGTTATACATATAATGACATATGTTACACAACGACACACGCACATCATTATGTAGTATGTATTGTTGTTACCATAATTGTCAGTATTGCTATGATTAGTATCAGTATTACGATTATTCCTATTGTTGTTATGATTTGATGATCCATCTCAAAAGGGGGTGCAACCAATGGTTGATAGTTTTTTCCCCAGCTGGAAATAGCTAAGGCACCAACAAGGCAGCAACAATTCCACCAAATAATTTTAGCGATCGTTAAAGTTCGATATTCAAGATCATCAGGGATATTCCCAACCAATCTCATAAACAATTCTCCAAAGATGGAAGGAAATCAGCCCAAAAAGATGTTATCTGGAGGCTGCATGGACAAGCGCCACGCCAGCGCCCACGCCTTTAGATGTCGAGGTCGCCAGGTTGTTGGTGGAGAACTGATGGAAGGGATATGTATATATGTTTGTGTATTTATAATTACATATTGTATTTGAATTGTATGTGTATATATATACATGTGTTTGTTTATTTATGTAATGTATATACACATATATATATATCATTTAATGTATACATATATATATATATTATTATGTAGTATATATATATATATTATTGGTGGGTTCATTTATTGAAAAAGGGGATTAGTGAATACATGTTTGATAGTTTATGATAATTTTGATGAAAGGTTGCCCAAATGTTCCAAGGTTGATCATTTTTGATATAAAAGGCCAGGCTGGATCTTGAGTTTCCCAAGTTCCCAGTGAGCCATGAGACTTTGGCCTCATAGATTCTAAGTGATTCCAACCTTTTCCAACTCAGGCAGAGGGCGCAGATGGCAACGGTCAAGAAAGCCCTGACACCCGCGACGGTACTTTGCGCCTCGGCCGCCAGTTGCTAAATGGTGGGATGTTGGCAAGGACACTGCAAAACTTGATGGATAGCAAATACCCAGAGACTTTTACCAGTCACAAGTCCGCCCAACGAATCAATTGAAGTTGCTATGTCATCAAGAAAAACAATTGATACTGGTCAGGAGCGACCCCTTAAGTACTGCAATATACTGGTGCTTTCAAACATTCTTTGATCCAAAATGACTGTAAATACCAGTATCAATTGTTTTTCCGAGGGATTGAAATCTGCCACAAAGAGTTCTTTTTTCTCGCTGAGGATCTCCTTTGGAATGCCTCTGGAAGCTTGCCATGTCCTGGTGCTAAGTCCCGCCCTGATTAGCGCAGTGAATAACAACAATGTGGGTAAAACGATAATAAACCACCCATTTGGGAATGGTGTGTAGCACTGTAGCACCTATTTATGGTGATTTGGGGGATGGTTTACCAGTAGTACCTCACAAGGCGGTGGCGGAAGTTTCAAGGATAGGACACTATAGGAGAGGTGAGTTGTTGTGATTCATGGATGGCAGAGCGAATCCACTGATGGACCGAAAGGTGGTTGGAGTTGTGCTTTTTGGAGTGGTTGCAATGGTTGCAGTGGTCACCTCACTCACAACTCCTGGATGTAGTGTGGTGTAGTGCAGTAGTTGTAGTTGTAGTTGTAGTGGGGTTGATGTTGTTGAAGTTGTAATGTTGTAGTTGTAGCCGTGGTTGTATTTGTAGTTAGTAGTTGCAATAGTTGTAGGAGCTGTAGTTGTAGTTGTAACTGTGGTTGTAGTGTAGTTGTAGCTGTAGCTGTAGTTGTAGTTGTAGCGTAGTGTCGAGGTAATTGTTGTAGTAGTAGTGTAGTTGAAGTTGAAGTTGTATTTGAAGTGTAGTTGTAGTGTAGCTGAAGTTGTAGTTGCAGTTGCAGCTGTAGTTGCGGTTGCAGTTGTAGTGTGGTTGTAGTAGCTGTTGCAGGTGTAGTTGTGGCTGCAGTTGTAGTTGCAGTGGCGCTTGTAATTGTAGTTGTAGTAATTGTAGTTGAGGTTGTAGTGGTAGTTGAAGTGTAGTTGAAGTTGTAGTTGTAGTGGTAGTGTAGTTGAAGTTGTAGTTGTAGTGTGGTGTAGTGCAGTTGTAGTTGCAGTTGTCTTTCTGTCTATCTATATATCTGTTTATCTGTTTATCTATTTGTGTTTCTGTTTATCTATCCGTCTATCTATCTATCTATCGATCTATCTATTTATCTGTTTATCTGCAAGTTGAAAACGAAGCTATTCTGCGAGAGTTCCTCAATTTTTGAACTTGACAACATCAGAAGCGCAGCAATTCAGCGAGACTTATTCAATTTTTGAACTTGACAACATCAAAATATGTCAAAATCGAAGAAATTCTGCGAGACTTGACTTCCTTCAAAAATAGAAAGTTGAGTGCAGAGCTGATGGCCTCGTACCAATGCGTTTTGCATTTTTTCCACTCCACCTGTCTAAAGTACTGCGCCTGCCACAAAAAATTGATGCCAGGTCATACGAAGTGCTGCACCTGTCACGCAAAATCATTTTAGCAAACCTGACGATCTGATGCTCCAAAATGCACCCCTTCTCAGGAAATCAGCGCCCTAACCTCCTAACATCTCTGATGAACATGTCTCTTGTACTGCACCTGCCGCGCGAAATGCATCTTTGCAGATCCTCTGCGAATGCCCCACGCCTGCCATAGTTTTTGGAAATGCTACAAAACCCTCACGCTTGGCTCACTTTTGACAAGGTGCACAATCCCTTGCGCCTACCACGCAAAAACGACATCTGAACGTCCAAACCCGTCAGTTTTTGACATGTGCTTCGCGCCACAACGGCATACACTTTTTCGACATGTTAACTTCCAAAAGTGGTCCAAGCATGGTGTGCTTTGTACATTTTGACTTGGACATGTGCTTCGCGCCACAGCGGCGTGCACTTTTTCGACATCTCAACTTCCAAAAGTGCTCCGAGACGTCAGTTTCTACTTCGCGCCACAACGGCGTGCACTTTTTCGACATCTCAACTTCCAAAAGTGCTCCGAACGTTGGGTGCATTTAGCTTTTTCACTTGCAAATGTGCTTTGCGCCACAACGGCGTGCAACTTTTCATCTCTCATCTGGCCAGATGGCTCCGCATCCGCCGCTTTAGCGAGCCTACTTTTCGACCCTCCGGAGCCACAAATCATTGGAAAAACACAGTGTTTCGCAACTTTCCTACCTTTTCGCACGCCTCCATCTTCTATCTTCTGAGACTTTCTCTTTTTGGTCGGAAGTTTGACTTCTAAACTTCCTTCGGCTATTGTCCACATTAGTAACAACGATTGTGATACTGATAATGACAATATTTTTCATGATTATACTGATGTCAACGATGATAATGATAATGATGACAATGACCATACTAAGAATCAACAGTTCTTGGAAGGTGAGGCTGATCATCATCTTTGGATCTGGGCAATGATATCACAGTCCCTCAGCGTTTTCACATGTTTTCTTGTGTTGATCAAAGGACACCTAGGTGGCCTAAGTGGTGTTTTTGGTGTTTGCTCAGCAGATTCCAAGGAAGATCGCTTGGCCAAGCGCGTGACCATCCAAGTGTTTGTGCTGGCAGTGTCCATCGCAGCCTTTTCCATCATTCATTTCATCACGACGCCTGTAGCAATTAACAGGGGTGCCTGTCAATGAACCACAAAATTGGTTATTCTATTGGGATTTGGCCATGGGTCGCATCGAATCAGCTAATGTGCCATGATTGAGCGATGAAGCACCATCTAACAGCTACCTGGCAGTTGATGATTTGACCTCAACTACGGAGTTCTAAGCCATCAAAGGATGGGCTGAAGTGGCAAGTAATAGGCCCTATAGAACAATGGATAGCATCGCATGAGTTGCTTGATGCACACATGTGTATTGGCATCAATAGGTTTCGTGTTTTGTGGGTGAATCTGACCTAACAAGAGAGCTTGACCAGCAACCGGAATCCTTGAGTCCTTGAGCATTTTTTTGCAGTTCACAGCCCAGAAATGCAATCGGGAACGACCTCAAATGTCATCAGAAATGCGCTGCTCTATCTCTGCTGTGTGTGTGGGCATAATCCCTGGATTGGATGTGACGCTGCAAGGACTCTGATGATGGGGCGTTTCGAAACAAGTGTCTTGCATTGTCTTGCTATTTTGACATCACGCCTGGTAGTTCTTTGCAATGGATTTTTTTTGTGGAAAGTTGAGAAACTCATTAGTGGCGAGGTTCTTTGATTCGTGGTACACCAATTGTTTTTGAAGGATTCCACAATACTAGATAGTTCAGGAGTTGGGCAACCCTTGAGATTTTAAGCACGGGAGAATCATCGGAGAACAAAACGGAGCAATCATCGAAGAAAGCAGCGAATCTTTTGGTCGTTGATACCGTATGGTTTGTTAATGCTTGTTAGCGCCCCGTGAAAAATGACCCTCAGCTCACCCTGAGGCTGGGAGAATCCTACAGGTGCTCCACCAAGTCTTCGCACTTTGATAGCTCAGTTGGCTCAGTTTCATCCCACACAAATAACCATGTTTATGCCAGCGGGGGGAAAACCGCGCCAGCGTTTTAACCGTTTTTGAAAACACACATTTTTATCCGTAGCATGCACATCTTACGTTACGTCACTGGGTTGGGGGGGTGGGGCATGTTAACGTTCATGTTAAGTTGCGTCACATGCACATCTTACGTTACGTCACTGGGTTGGGGGGTGGGGGATGTCAACGTTTCATTTTAACTTGCGTCACATGCACATCTTACGTTACGTCACTGGGTTGGGGGGGTGGGGCATGTTAACGTTCATGTTAAGTTGCGTCACATGCACATCTTAAGTTACGTCCACTGGGTTGTTGGGTGGGGCATGTTAACATTCATGCAACATCTTACGTTACGTCACTGGGTTGGGGGGTGGGGCATGTTAACGGTTCATGTTAAACTTGCGTCATATGCACATCTTAAGTTACGTCACTGGGTTGGGGGGTGGGGCATGTTAACGTTCATGTTAACTCGCGTCACATGCACATCTTACGTTACGTCACTGGGTTGGGGGGGTGGGGGATGTTAACGTTCATGTTAACTTGCGTCACATGCACATCTTACGTTACGTCACTGGGTTGGGGGGGTGGGGCATGTTAACGTTCATGTTAACGTGCGTCACATGCACATCTTACGTTACGTCACTGGGTTGGGGGGGTGGGGCATGAATCAGTTGTTGACGCAATGTGGCGACTATTTAAGTCTGCCATCCCATGCTCTCTCTCGACGAGATCCACCGGCCATGTCAACCCAAAGTTGATGCGAAGCATCCGGGTGTGGCAGTGGCGTTGGATGAACTTCAAGACAAAAGTCTCATGGAGGTCACAGGTCGAGCCTTGAAAGACCGTGTAGCAATGTGAATTGAAAAAAAGACCCGGCGAGTTTTCAGGAACAAATTCCCTGTAATTTACAGGTTATCGTTTAAAAAACACTTCAAAATCCCGGGGAATTTTGGGCCAATTTTGGGGCATGAATCAGTAGTTTCGCTATGGCGAAAACGACATGAAAAAAAAAAATACTTTACTTCGTGTGATCCCCACCATGACATTTATACATTTTCTTACTGGCAAATCTTCTGGCATTCTATCTGACATATCTTCTGACATTCTATTTGCCATTCTATCTGGCATATCTTCTGGCATATGATCTGGCATATCTTCTGGCATATCTTCTGGCATTCTATCTGGCAAATCTTCTGTCATTCTATCTGGCATATCTTCTGGCATTCTATCTGACATATCTTCTGGCATTCTATCTGGCATTCTATCTGGCATATCTTCTGGCATATATTCTGACATATCTTCTGGCATAATCTTCTGGCATCTCTTCTGGCAATCCTTTCTGACATCTTATCTGGCATATCTTCTGGCATATTTCTGGGAAATTCTTCTGGCAAATTTTCTGGAATTCTATCTGGCATTCTATCTGGGCCTATCTTTCTGGCATAATTATCTGGCATCTATCTGGCATATCTTCTTGCATTCTTCTGACATTCTTTCTGACATTCTTTCTAACTTTCTTCTGCACATTCTTGTCCCATATCTTCCTACAATGAGGTCCGGCAGGGAACACTGGGCGTGGATGGTCGTGGTTGGGGTCCGGCAGGGAACACTGGGCGAGGATGGTCGTGGTTGAGGTCCGGCAGGGAACATTGGGCGTGGATGGTCGTGGTTGAGGTCCGGCAGGGAACACTGGGCGTGGATGGTCGTGGTTGAGGTCCGGCAGAGACCACTGTGGATCGCGGGTCGCAGTTGAGCAAGGACGACGAGGACGACGAGGACGACGAGGAGGACGAGGAGGAGGAGGAGAGGAGGACGAGGCAGGAGGAGGCGGAGGAGGAGAAGGAGGAGGAGGAGAAGGAGGAGAAGGAGGAGGCAACTGACATAAAATCTAACAACCCTCACCTGGCAGGTGGGGAAAAAAACTCAAACCGCTGGCGCGGTTTTCCCCCGGACGGGATGTTTATCATAAGTCATGGAGGACTGGATTTCTTTTCAGAGTCCAAACATTCAAATTTGGGCACGTTTGAAAGGAATCTGGTAACACAAAGGTCACTAAAGCCTTCCCCAGGTTTGTTATTTGGATGAAGCGCAAGAGCAGCTGATTGCTCATGCTTCAGTCTGCTTCAGTCTGCTTCAGTGGTTCCTGGCCTGGCCTGGCAGGTGGTGTAGTCTATAGAGCCGACATTCTCTGGGCCGATGTGGCGAGCCTCATCATTGAGTTGAGCATCCCCATTGCAGGCTGGAGTTGGTGATGGTAAGTTTTCTGGGTCCCAGTTGTGATGCCCCAAATATCCTGGTAAATATCCTGGTAATTAGATAGTCATTAGATAGTCACACTAACTGTTTGAATGATCTTGAATGATCTTATTGGAGATGTGAAAGAAATTAGAGTTTCGAAATGGGAACCGCATGGAACCGCTGTCAACCAGCGCCAAGCAGTAGAATCAATCCACAATTCCATGGCACAGTTCACCAGCGGAAATTGGAGCCAGGGTACTTGGGAGCTTTATACCACAACCGCCAGCTGACGTGCTGTTTCTGCAGCTGCAACCTCTTCTTGGTCTTTGCCACCTCATGGCATCTTGAATGGCATGTAGCGGCATGTACAACAAATTTTAACATGGCGTTGCGTGGTTGTGAAGCTCATGGAATGCCCAAAGCAACTGGAAACCGAAAGGCTCGGGATACTTTGCTTTCCAGCGAAAGATTTAGTGAACCTTGTCACATGGGCAACACATTCATCAGTCTCTATATGACGTGGCACCGTGGCACCGTGGCACCGTCCGTGAAGCCCTGAACTGTAAGGACGCTTTTAACTCTGGCCTTTCGTCAACGAGAACTTGCTGGGAACTGCAACCTGGAACCTGACGATCAGAACCGGGCACTCTGCTACATGTGGCTGGACCGAGGGGCTTTGCAGCGGCGACTTGAGCCCAGCTCCTGGAGTTTAGAATCTGAGCATTTTGACATACCCCATTCTGAGAAATCGCGGGATACTTGCTGGTCAGCACATTCCGTCAGCTAATGTCAGTCCCCCATTTTCAATTGCAGGTTTACACACTTATTTCACCTTATTTCCATGTGTCGGCTCGCTTTTTTTTGCTCATCATGCAATTTTCTTGCTGACCAACACCCTGAAAGGACAACGGTGCTCACAAGATTCTTGGTTGCCAGGGTTGGCGTGAATGGGACCGGTGAGAATCCAACTGCACCGCAAATGCAGCGGCAACTGCGATTTTATCCAATGAATCCGACCAGTATCAAGAAACCTTCCTTTCATCATATTGATCATATTGGTCTGAATTTCACCGCTTTCATCACATGTTCAACACAAAGTTTGACCCTCCAAAGCCGTACTCGAGGCGTGTTCCACTTGTAAGGGAAAGGTCATGAACTCAGGTTGTCCGCGTTTCTTTTGGTTCAAAACTTGCATTGGTTTGCTACTAGCCTCTACAAACAAATAACTAAAACCACCTGAGAGAACATCAGACCTGAAACGACCATCCAATGTTCTGGCCGCCTTGAGAAATCCCATGGCGACAAATTCTTTGACTAAAGCAAACAAGTGTTGTTAACATGTGTTGTTAACATAAGTTTGATCATTTTGTACTTTGTAACATGTTTCTTGTTTGTCTTGTTTGTTTAATTAACATCTTTGGTCTTCTTCAGTCTTCCTCCTCGACTTGGGGCCCCTTATGGCCCCTTGCGCTGTGAGGTGGGTCTTCATTGGGGATGCCATTTGCGTGGCCACTCTGTCCTGCTGCGCTGCCATGGCTAGCCACATGGCGAAATCGGGTTTACTGACGTGGGTTCACCGGGTTCACCCGCAAAGCGCATGGGCTTCCAATGGATATTTGTGGTGGATATTTATTGATGATATCAATCTGACATCAATCTGACATCTGTTCAATTTGCTCATATCTGTTCATATCTTATCCATAGAAAATGTGGATATTCTAGGCATCATGGTGATGCAGGCTGTCGGATGCTCGTATGGGATGGGGATGGGGATGGGTTTGGTGCTAGTCCTGCAGCAGTTTTTGCAGCCTAACAAATGCGCCTGTCAATCATCCCATTTTTTCCATTCCCCCTAGTGTTTATGTTAGTCAATCTAGTTTTCGCATTCTTTTTCACTTGATTATGATCATCATTTCTTTTGGTTCAACATGGTCGAACACACTTAAATATTAGTGATTCTGTGTTCATTTTGGTATATTTTGATGAATGCGGATGATTCTGGATGAGTTTTCGGGATTTTTTACACCTTCTGTAACCATCTTCTAGCCATCTCTCGGCGTCACTTCAACCATGTTCAACCTGAGGTATCCGACTCTTTCACAAGCTCTCCAGGGAACCCGCCAACATCGAGTCCACCCCCGTGGTTGGCGAGGCGCTGGGCACAACATGGGGGAAAAATGATGAACAAATGGTGAGCCAACTGAGAAAAATGGTCAAACCTGATTTGATGATCTTTGGGATTTAGGCCTGGGGACCTGGCCAGGTGGTGCAACTGCAAGCACCTTGGCCGAAACCGACATGGATGAGGGTTGGGTAATGTTGGGTGCGTCATGGTACATCCGAAAATCCACCGACGTGGTCTAATATGTCACATGCCCTACTAACCCATGACACATGTGTCACAACCTGGCGCATTGTGCTGGTGCATCAGGGTCAAAAGGATATGTGCTGGTGCATTGAATGGTCTTGGAATGTCTAGTGAACGCACCTGTACGTTTTTTCCAGCAGGGACTATGTAGAAATGGCGAGAATTCATGCGAAAATATGTCTTTAGAACGATGTACATTCGTGCAACGTTTTTTTCCCAATCAGTCTGTCAGACATTTCCTTTGAGAAGAAACTAGACGAACATGCACCACCAGCTACGGCAGCAGCAAGTTGAGCCTCTGCTGCAGACTGGAGCCATGGCCACACGCCACAGGTAGCGGACTCTTTGGTGTGCGACACTCCGTGTGTCGTGCGGCTAAACCAACCTGCAGGCAATCCTCCATGGCTGCAAGAAGTGCGAACTGGTGCTGCTCCTGCTGTGGCTGACACCAGACTAGCACCGACCCCACCGGGACTGACACAGTACTTTCACAGCACTTTCACCCGCCGGACGTGTACAAGGAATGGCGAGTGGAAGTCGCTGCACCTATGGAGACGGCAGCAGGGCCAGACCAAAGCCACACCAGAAGCCGTTCCCTGTGGACGAGAGCTCAAACGAGCTTCTGCAGCTGCGGAGGAAGACACAGTCCCTGGTGCCAGCATGGCAGCAGATGGCGACAAGAGGCTATGGTGGTGAGCATGTTCCTTCAGCAATGGCACTGATGGGAATGCCGGCAGAGAGCGAGAGGCAGCGGGCTCACACCGCGGAAGTTGCCTACGGACAGCGGCAGCAGCTTCAGGATGAGGAAGCCATGGCCATGGAACAGGCGTTCCTTTCGGAGGGGGCCAGAGCTGACGCTGCAGAGCGACATGCTGCTGAGATGAGAGATGTAGTTCATGCGCTCAAGGACCATGTGCTCAAGGAACAAGCAAGTTCTTCCACAAGACCTGTCGTCAGCACAGACCTGAGAGCGCACAGAGCTGCAAAGGAAGAGGCTGCACCAGCAGCAGGCCGCAGAAAGCAGCCGGAGCAGCTTCCAGAAAGGCCTGGAGTTATCTGGGTAGGAGCGACTCCACACCTAGATACACAACAAGCCATGTATGCATCTCCGCAGCATTGGAAAATGATAAGTTGGTGACCCTTTCATGGTTTTCACGACAGCAACATTCTTCACCAGTCGAGTTTTTGCCGAGAGGGTTGCTAAAATCATCTAACTTGTATCCCAAAATTATGAAAATTGGTGACCTTTCCATGGTTTTCACGACAGGAGCATTCTTCACCGGTCGAGTTTTTGCCGAGAGGGTTGCTAAATTTAAATGTTTTTTTTGGTCAACGGACGGATGCAATGATCCAGAACTAAGGGAGTGCCGAATGCTTTGTGGCATCACTTTCTGGAGGGAGAATGCTTCAGAAGCTTCTCCTGTGCCTACTTCGTAGTCTTTGGGATGGAGCTTGGTAAGAGTGGCAGGATTCCCGATACAGCCTACCCAAGTGTACATTCCCTGCGACATTTGTCTTTGAACGACACCACCCAATACGACCGCCTGGTCAAGGAGTTTAAGCAGCTGGCCAAACCGGAGCTCAGAAAGCCTCAGACGCACGATCCATTGTCCGACGATGACCGTGCGACCTTGGTTATCGCAATAGGCTGAATCTGCTAGCTAGTGAGACAGTTGGGAAGACCATTCTATGGAAGATTTGGGTGATTTTTATCTCAGGAATCCCATTCTATAGAGCGCCACAGGCGGACAGTGGTTTGAGCTTACCATCTTAGCACTATAAAATGGTAGTCTCCGGCAACTGACCGAATTCCCAGGGGCATATTTTAGACAGATCCTAGTAGCAAAAGGAGCCCAAGCCACGATGTGTGTTCTTTTCCCTCTGCAGGCTGCGATACACACGGTGCTTCAGGCAAGGGTATCACGGTTGAAGGCATACCGCAAGGAATCTGCCAATCAGTGGGAGCTGGTCCAGGTGGTAGCTCGCATGCTGCTACCTGTGACGATGAGAGCCTTGTTGGTGGAGAACTACGTTCACCGTGAACTCCGACTGACAGGCGCGCAGCCTCCACCTACACCGCAGAACTCCGAAGAGGTGTATCCGTGTGACACAGTGGGAGTGGCAATGTTTTTGCTGCGACAAGCCTCCACCATGAATGACAATGAACTTCATTCACGAGAAAAAACCGTCAGCAAGAGATTCTACGGATGATGCTCAGCAACGCAGCACATGAAACGAAACAAATATGATCCATTGCAGGGAGAATGCGAGAGGGAGAAACAGATTGCCTGTCACATTCCATCACACTCCACTTTCAACCGCTGTTTGTCTTGCAAAGCGCGTGTCTTGCCGAAGATTTGTGGCTCACATGTGTCACATATGCCTATATGACTTTTGGCTCAGTGTCGATGCTTCATCGTTGGCCGCCAAGGAGAACACTCCGCTGACCAGGGTGGTGAACCAACGAAGCACCATCGCTCCCAATGGCCATGACTGCCCGCTGCTGTGGGAGACATTGGGGGACAATGTATGATCGCAGCCCCAGGAATGTGAAGAACAATTTCTTGAAGTGTTCGGATTACTGGGTTCCAAATAATAGGCGTCATCATGTGTCATCATTGCCATAGGTTTCAATAGGTTGCATTGGTCATGCTATGCATGTTCATTTTCCTGTCATCAAGACAAGCTTCAAGAAACTCCATGGAACGCTCCCGCATCGCGTCGCTATGAGCTAAGAGCCTGATCACGCATGAAGTTTTTTGCTGAACCATCAACCCCAGAATTCAACCAATGATTGTACGATTACCTTGTGGATTATTGCGGTTTAGGGTGGTCTAGACATCCCAGAATTATGTTGAATTTCGAAACATGTTGAAACATGGAACCCGTGGAACCCGTGGAACCCCAAAATCATTCTGCAGGAAGTCACGCTGTACAGCATCGACCGCACTTCGGGTGTGAACCCACCGGATCCTGCGGATGGCAGCCCAACACCAGGCAGCCAGAGCCAGATCTGCAACCAGTACCGACCAGTCGACCAGTCGGGCGGATTGAAAACATAGATCAACACGCAGATGCTAAGTATACCAAGAATGATAAATTGTGGTTCCGTCGATACGCAAATGACTTGACCTATGCCTATGCCCCAAAAGTGCAAACCCCACTCCAACCCGAGGGTTATAAAATCACTGTTTTCCCCATGAAAAGGGCAACAGAAAAAAGGATACCATCCCCCAATCTTCCCCAATTAAGGAAGGCAATTACTAGCACTGCACTTTTCTCCATTGGAATTGCTTGTCCCATTAAGAAAATGTAATTCATCCCTACAATTCTGGCATTTTTTCCCAGTTGAACAATAACACTGTTTCATTCTTAAAGCAATTGAACATTGCAATATGTTTAATAAATTATATATCTATATATATATATCTATCTATATCTATATATATAGCATGTTTAATGGTGTTTTTATCTTCCCATATCTTCCCATGTTGACATCCCCATCTCACAGCTCTTCGCAGTTCGTGTCTCCGTTCCTCGGGCCAGCGTCGCCTCTTCGGTGCGGCCGCCCTCGGTACGCATCGAGTTGGCACCACAGGAAGTCTTTGAGGACGAGTACTGAAAGCCTAGCTTTGAGTCTGGGGTTGTCTGAACCCCAAAATCCATCAAAATCCACAGTTTATAATATGAAATACATGTGTACATATACGTATATATATATAATTATTTATTTATTTATATATATATATGAATATATATATATTCATGCATTGAGTTTGGCAGGCTTGGGTGTGCATGTGTCATCTTTAAGTGAGTCAATGAATGCTTTCATTTTGGCTCAAGTGGAGCTGAGCCAAAATAGCATTCATTGCTGTTTCTTTCCTGGCCCTGGTAAGGGGTGACCTTCCTAGACCTTGATTGAGCGGCTCACCACATCAATAACCAGGGGTGACCTGGTTGGTTACAAGCATCGTAAGGGGTGACCTGGTAGTTGCAAGGGGAGACCGTGCATGCAGCGTAAGCTTCGTGGGAGCGATATCCCGGCGGCCACCGAGGCGTCGCTCCTCCATGCTGCTGTGTTCCTGGAGTTCAAGCAGCACGTGGCGAAGCGATGCATTCTTGCTGCAGCAGTCCTTGGAAGACGCCAGAAACGGTTTTTGTACACCTCCTCTGCGGCGAGCAGAGTTCCTCAGGGACATTGGCGGCCGGGCACATCGTCTTATCCTGCGCTGTGTGACCACCCAAAGTTCGGGGAAACAACGAGGGCAATCAGACCTTTCTTCCGATGCCAACATGCTTACACTATGTAGTCGCCCATAAGCCTGGTTATGCGTCGTTGGTCTGAGGACGAGGTCGCCGAGTTTTGTCACCATGATGCCTGGGAGACAGGCTAAGAGGACCTGCCGTCTGCCTACAGGTACTGCCCCATGTCAGCAGGAGAGCTTAGGCTGCGTTGTCGTCTGGTTTCACTGATGAGTGGCAAACTCCGGTATCCCAGGTCTATGCAGGCCTCTTGTTTAGGCTCCCCCTGGCAATCACTTCGTTCAACTGATTTTCCCAGACTGTTGGAAGCGCTGACTCGCTGGTATTGCCAAGTTTTGACATCCCTGTACTTTAATGCCGCGATCACTGATGTCCGCTCTGCCAAGGGCTCCGGGCAATGGGCGATGAAACAACTATGCCTGATGATCGGATCTTTATTTGCGGAAGACAAAACGCAGACCATGCAGAGCACTGGCGCTTCTTTGGGACCTACCCATGACCTGAGTTGCATCAATAAGACAGGTCATCTTCGTTTTTGGGCCCGCACCAGACTCCATGGCAAAGTTCGTGATGTCTTGCCACAGCACGTCAAGCAGGCCACTTTACTCGAGGCACAGCTTCCAAACTTTATAGACTTGCAATCTTCTTGGAGCAAGGTATTTCTGGGCGAGTCGGGTATGGCGGTCTCATGGCCATCAAGGCACGCAACTGGAGCTCTCTATGGTGTTGTGCGCCTTGATCGAGCGCCCCGACCTTTTTCGACATCGACATGGTCTCTGGTTCCTCGACAACGTTGCCGCAGTCATGACCTTGGTGAGAGGGCGCTCTAGCAATTCGGGGTTAGCAAAGCTCGGCCATTTGATCCATTTGGCTCTGTTTGCACTGCGTGCCCAGCACTTGAGGGTTCCCAACACTTGCCATGCATATGAATTGACTTTTTAAGCGAGTTTCAGTTTCCAAGTGGGGGTGATCCTACTTCTGGAAACCTGGATATTTGCGATTTCAGCAGCGCTGGCTGCTGCTGGTTTTGACTTCCCCAAGCAAGCTGGGTGTCGGCAGTGGGCACAGAAATGTGGGCGTTTGCTGTTTTAAGCAGGTTGGGTTTCCAGCAGGAGGTGATCCTGCTTGGTGTGGCCGTACTTGCTTTCGTGACATATATTGGGGTCCAAGCGGGGGTGATCCTCCTTGATGGCGCCCAACACTTGCCATGAGTATTGCTTGGACCACAGGGGGAGTGACCACACGGCTGTGGGCCTCTGCGTTCTCAAGTAGGTTGGGTTTCAAGCAGGAGGTAACCCTACTTGGTATGGCCGTATTGCTTTAGGGGCATAGGGTTTGGGTCCAAGTGGGGGTGGTCCTACTTGAGGGTGCCCAACACCTGCCATGAATATGGCTTGAAGTTTTAAGAACAATTTCAGTTCCAAGTAGGGGTGATCCTGCTTCTGGGCAACTTGGTTTCTGGCCATTTCAGCAGCTGGAGGCTGTTGGTTACTTTGACTGCCCCAAGCAAGCTGGGTTTCCAAGTAGAGGTAACGCTACTTGAGGATCACAGGTTGCCCACTGGCACTGCCAGGGAGTGAACACAGGGCTGTGGGCCTCCGCTGTCTTAAGCAGGTTGGGTTTCAAGCAGGAGGTAATCCTATTTGGTGTGGCCGCACTTGCTTTCGTGACATAGTTTTGGGGTCCAAGTGGGGGCGATCCTACGTTTTGGTGCCCAGCACTTGCCATGAATCTGGCTCGAATTTTTAAGCGAATTTCAGCTACCAAGTAGGGGTGATCCTACTTCTGGGCACTTGTTTTTTTTTGCAAATTCAGCAGAACTGGAGGTTGTTGGGTCTGACTTCCCTCCAGGAGGCTGGGTTTCCAAGTAGAGGTGACGCTACTTGCAGGCCACAGGTTGCCCATCGACACTGCAAGGCAGTGACCAGAGGGTTGTGGGCCTCTGCTGTCTTAAGCAGGTTGGGTTCCAAGCAGGAGGTAATCCTACTTGGTGTGGCCTTACTTGCTCTAGCAACATAGGTCCGGCGTCCAAGTGGGGATTATCCCACTTGAGGGTGCCCAGCAGTTGCCATGAGTATGGCTTGAAATTTAAGCAAATTTCAGTTTCCAAATAGGGGTGATCCTACTTCTGGAAACTGGATTTTTGCAATTTCAGCAGAGCTGGGGGCTGTTGGTTTTGACTTCCCCAAGCAAGCTGGGTGGCGGCAGTGAGCACAGAGATGTGGGCCTCTGCTGTCTTAAGCAGGTTGGGTTTCAAGCAGGAGGTAATCCTGCTTGGCGTGACCTTATTGCTTTAGTGACATATGTTTTGGGCCCAAGTGGGGGTGATCCTACTCGTTGGTGCCCAACACCTGCCATGAACGTGGCGTCAGTTTTTAAGCGAATTTTGGTTTTCAAGTAGGGGTGACCCTACTGGTGGAAACTTGGAGGTTTTCGTTTTCAGCAGAGCTGGAGGCTGTTGGTTTTGACTGCCCTAAGCAAGCTGGGTGTCGGCAGTGCGCACAAAAATGTGGGCGCTTGCTGTTTTAAGCAGGTTGGGTTTCCAGCAGGTGGTGATCCTGCTTGGTGTGGCCGTACTTGCTTTAGTGACAATTGTTTTGGGTCCAAGTGGGGGTGATCCTACTCGTTGGTGCCCAACACTTGCCATGAACGTGGCGTCAGTTTTTAAGCGAATTTTGGTTTCCAAGTAGGGGTGACCCTACTTGTGGAGACTTGGAGGTTTTCGTTTTCAGCAGAGCTGGAGGCTGTTGGTTTTGACTGCCCCAAGCAAGCTGAGTGTCGGCAGTGCGCAAAGAAATGTGGGCGTTTGCTGTCTTAAGCAGGTTGGGTTTCAAGCAGGAGGTAACCCTACTTGGTGTGGCCTTATTGCTGTAATGGCATAGGTTTTGGGTCCAAGTTGGGGGTGGTCCTACTTGAGAGTGCCCAACACCTGCCATGAACATGGCTTGAAATTTTAAGGAAATTTCAGCTTCCAAGTAGGGGTGATCCTACTTCTGGGCAACTTGCTTTCTTTTTTTTTGGCATTTTCAGCAGAGCTGGAGGCTGTTGGTTTTAACTGCCCCAAGAAAGCTGGGCTTCCAAGTAGAGTAACGCTACTTGGGGATCACAGGTTGCCCACTGGCACTGCCAGGGAGTGACCACAGGGCTGTGGGCCTCCGCTGTCTTAAGCAGGTTGGGTTTCAAGCAGGAGGTAATCCTACTTGGTGTGGCCGCACTTGCTTTCGTGACATAGTTTTGGGGTCCAAGTGGGGGCGATCCTACGTTTTGGTGCCCAGCACTTGCCATGAATCTGGCTCGAATTTTTAAGCGAATTTCAGCTACCAAGTAGGGGTGATCCTACTTCTGGGCACTTGTTTTTTTTTGCAAATTCAGCAGAACTGGAGGTTGTTGGGTCTGACTTCCCTCCAGGAGGCTGGGTTTCCAAGTAGAGGTGACGCTACTTGAAGGCCACAGGTTGCCGATCGACACTGCCAGGCAGTGACCAGAGGGTTGTGGGCCTCTGCTGTCTTAAGCAGGTTGGGTTCCACGCAGGAGGTAACCCTACTTGGTGTGGCCTTATTGCTTTAGTGGCATAGGTTTTGGGTCCAAGTTGGGGGTGGTCCTACTTGAGAGTGCCCAACACCTGCCATGAACATGGCTTGAAATTTTAAGGAAATTTCAGCTTCCAAGTAGGGGTGATCCTACTTCTGGGCAACTTGCTTTCTTTTTTTTTGGGCATTTTCAGCAGAGCTGGAGGCTGTTGGTTTTAACTGCCCCAAGCAAGCTGGGCTTCCAAGTAGAGGTAACGCTACTTGGGGATTACAGGTTGCCCACTGGCACTGCCAGGGAGTGACCACAGGGCTGTGGGCCTCCGCTGTCTTAAGCAGGTTGGGTTTCAAGCAGGAGGTAATCCTACTTGGTGTGGCCGCACTTGCTTTCGTGACATAGTTTTGGGGTCCAAGTGGGGGCGATCCTACGTTTTGGTGCCCAGCACTTGCCATGAATCTGGCTCGAATTTTTAAGCGAATTTCAGCTACCAAGTAGGGGTGATCCTACTTCTGGGCACTTGTTTTTTTTTGCAAATTCAGCAGAATTGGAGGTTGTTGGGTCTGACTTCCCTCCAGGAGGCTGGGTTTCCAAGTAGAGGTGACGCTACTTGAAGGCCACAGGTTGCCCATCGACACTGCCAGGCAGTGACCAGAGGGTTGTGGGCCTCTGCTGTCTTAAGCAGGTTGGGTTCCACGCAGGAGGTAACCCTACTTGGTGTGGCCTTATTGCTTTAGTGGCATAGGTTTTGGGTCCAAGTGGGGGTAGTCCTACTTGAGGGTGCCCAACACCTGCTATGAAATCCTACTTCTGGCAACTGGATTCTTGCAATTTCCGCAGAGCTAAAGGCTGTTGATTTTGGCTGCCCCAAGCCAGCTAGGTCTCCAAGTCGAGGCACCGCTACTTGAGGCTCAC